CAGGAGTTTTTCAACTAATGTTGGATTGATGATTAGCTTGTTGATTGTCTTTTGGTTTGCATTGAACCGTGCTGAAGGTCAACTGGCTCTTCTACGTGACATCATGGCGTCTGTCATTCCTATATTCCAACTTAACCCCCATATGTTGACATATTATCCTTGTGATTGCCTATGTATCACGCGACCTTCTATCCCTCTTCCGATGTTGCGGAAGGAAACAAGACCTGCTGCGCAGTCTGTGAAGTTACATAGTCGAGAGCGTCGAGAGTGTACGCTTACCAGCCAGTGGGGGATCGCCACTTGGAAATTATTTTCGACCTGGTACCTCTAAATTGCGTTCAGTAAATCTTTGGCTGGTTGGCTGGCTGGCTGGTAAGGTAAAGGCTGACCGCGATCGCAAGCCATTCGCTTAGAACAGTTGCGATGCGCGCATTTATTTATTTTCTATTATTATTATTATTATTATTTTGTGTTTTTCTGGAGTAACCTGTTTGACGACTAAACGAGGTTAGTGAAACTGGGGCAGGTTAGCTTATTCTCTGTCGCGACTGTTGGCGACAAGTGATTGCTGCGCAATCATTGATTTTGGTTGTTGTGCCCCGTTTGTACTTTGATTATGTTTTGTTTTTTTTTAATATTCTGTGTAAGTCTGTTATGTTGTTCATTAAACTTTGCTATTGTTATCTGAACGGCCGACGTATCATTGTAGCTTCTCCGTATTGCTTGGATACCCCACGAATATCTTGGGGAGCTTGTAAACACAGCAATAGAGCCAGTGACTACAGGCTAGTTCTCCCGACTTCGCCGCTGGAATAAGTAGATTGAGAGAAGAAGGGACAGGGGCGGTTAGGTATTTTTAATATTGTGTTTGCATATTTTATATTACTGATATTTTCCTTTTGGTCTTGTGTATTTTTTATTGTGTTCCTTATAATGGTTGTTATATTATCGTGATAAATCATTGTGTAAATTTTATGTGACTTTGACATGTGATGCATTCGCTATTATTTCTTGACATGTCCAATTGCATTCAGTTCAGTTACGAACAAAAATAAAGTTGAAAGTTTTTTTTCCTTGGCACTACAGCCCCAGTGGGCCTAGGCCTACCTCCTTGAACTTCTCCGTTCACTTCGGTTTTTCTAGATCTTACACATTCGGTAGGACTACTTGGGCGGATGGTCAGCTCGTCACAAGGCCTCTACCTGTACTCAAACACAGAAACTAAACATCCATGCCCTGAGTGGGATTCGAACCCACGATCCCGGTTTCCAAGCGAGCGAAGATAGTACATGACTTAGACAGCTCGAAGGCTACAGTGATCGGCAGTTGAAAGTTTATCCCCATTTATTTTGCTTCGATCCTGTAACCACTGGAAATTGGCTTGTTTTCTTTCATCTAATAATTTTGAGTATGGCTTATGTTTCTTCAGTTCATAACAACCTAGACTCTCCTTCGCAGGAACTCTGATTCCCAATCATTGGTTTGAAAATGTTTTCCTTACCTAATTTGGCATTAAAATCTCCTAACAAAATTTTCATATGGTACTTCAGGAATTTATCAAATACATGTTCTAGTTCGTCATAGAACATGTCCTTTATATCATCAATTTTATCTTCTGTTGGGACGTAAACATTAAAAACGATGATATCACACCAACACAGGATGTTGAGGATGATATTTGGACCAAACAAAGATAAGGTGACAGGAGGTCGGAGAAGACCACATAATGAGGAGCTTCATAATTTGTACTCTTCTCCAAGTGTAATTAGAATCAAGTCAAGGAGGATGAGGTGGACAGGGCATGTAGCACGAATTGGGGAGAACAGGAATGCATGTAGGATATTGGTTGGAAAGCCAGGTGGAAAGAGGTCATTGGGAAGACAAAGGTATAGGTGAGTGGGCAATATTAAAACGGTTCTTAGAGAGATATGATGGGATAGTATGAATTGGATTGATCTGGCTTAGGATAGGGACCAGTAGCTTGTTTGCCTTATGCCGGTCGCACACCAAGGAAACTGGCAACCGCAACGCAACCGCAACTTCCGAGAAAAATCAGCCAGAAAAATACTATCTGACATTGCAGAAGAGTAATGCACGAAACTGGTGGGCAAACACACCCACTTGAGATGATGTGAGCAACTAATCGAATGTAAGTTTCCTCAGTGTGCGCCTGCTAAATTTGAACCCAGTTGCCTGCTTGATATCGGCGATATTTTTCGAAAATCGCGGTTGCGTTGCGGTTTCCAGTTTCCTTAGTGTCCACCCTGCCTTCTTCGTTGACCCTTATCTTGGGTGCAATATGTTGTTGGAGGCGGCGCTATGAACTCAGTGAACAGCTGCAAGACATCCCTACAGATGTAGCTCTGCTCCCAGAGACACATAAAAACACCATGAGAGGTTCGTCATTCCGAATTATCACTTTTATCGGACTGACCGCTTCCCGGAAAGAAGAGGCACTATGTTATGTGTGCTATACGTACACTTGACAAAGGCGAGCCTACTCACAAGAGACAAACCCATCCTCTCGTCAGAGAAGTTACATATGAGCTATGACCTCATAGGTTCAGTTGCAAATAAAAAATACGAATTGCAGTGGTAAACGGCCAGTCGTAAAATAACAGACTTTCCCTCTTGACTCTCAAATCCAACCCAGGTTTTAGTTGTTAATTTATTGATCGTGGGCTAGTTTCTGCATTAAAAGTTCTGGCATCTTCGCTGTATCATTATCTCCAACTAGTATCAGAATTGTTTCCTAATTACCTATAAATGCGTGCAATTAAAAAAAAAGTACGTCCGAACCGATGGATCAATTCGAGTGTTTGAAAAATTAATGGCCTCATGTCCACGGATCACTAACTTCTGTTCCTCATGTAAAAGCGAAGCTAGTAAACGCATTCAATTATTTATAGGAATGAACGAGTTTCGACAGCTTTCAACAATCTAGTTATTCGACTGTACTACATCTAAAGCAATCTGAAACTTGATCTTCATAGACTCAATAGATCAGATAATTAGTCAGTTTCCTAACAATGAAGGTGCACATCCCACAATTAGATGTAGCCTTTTTGGCAGCTATCCAGATATAGTTAATGTTCCCATTACTTCAGCGGAAGTCTTAAGCACAATTTTTTCATTAAAGAATAAGACCTCTAGTGGATACGATGGGTTGTCTAATAAAATTATCAAGTTATGTGGAGCGCAGATAGTTAAGCCCCTTACTCACATCTACAATCTTTCCTTAACAACAGGTATATACCCAGATCGACTAAAATACTCTAACATTATACCATGCTTTAAAAAAGGTGATATATCTGAAATATCTAATTATAGGCATATTTATTTATTGACAGGCTTTTCTAAATTATTTGAAATATTAGTCTTTAATAGACTAAAACAACATTTGACAAACAATAATATTATTGTGGATGGGCAATTTGGATTCAGAAATGGTATATCTACACAAAATGCTATCTTCAAACTAACAGAAGCTATTTATAAGGCATGGAATAACAAAGAACTAGTGGTAGGTGTATTTTGTGACCTTACAAGGGCTTTTGATTGTGTTAAGCACAACCTACTAATCCAAAAGTTAGAACATTATGGTATTAAAGGATGTATTTTGAAATGGCTCAAATCATATTTACATAATAGGAAACAGAGAACTGTATTGCACACTCATGACTCAACCACCTTTCTTTCTAGATGGGTAACCTGCAGACATGGTGTTCCCCAGGGTTCTGTCTTGGGACCATTACTATTTAATGTTTACATTAACGACCTGCCAAGTACTCTAGATGGTTTGGCTCATACCATTCTTTACGCGGATGATACCACCATTATTGTTTCCTCAAAAGACATCACCACATTAAATCATAAAATAAATAAAATAATGAATCATATCTATGAATGGTTTCAAAATAATCAATTAGTCCTTAATCTAAAGAAGATGCATGTAATTAAATTTACTACGCCTATGACCATGGACTATCCATTACATGTGGAATATAACGATCAAGTTCATAATATTGATGAAAGTGTTAATTTCTTGGGTGTGTGCCTTGACAGTCATCTCAAGTGGAAACAATATTCGGATAATTTAATAAAAAAATTAAGTACTGCAATTTTCATGCTTAGAAAATTGCAGCCTACGGTGAGTGGACAAGTTTTACTATGGTTTACTTTTCTAATGTGCAGGCTCAACTTAATTACGGTATCATTTTTTGGGGCTCCTCTTCGTCAATGAAAAGTATATTTACTGTACAAAAAAAAAGAGCATTAAGAGTTTTGTTAAGATTAGGGCCAAGGAGTTCATGTAGGGAAGGCTTTAAGACAACGGGCATACTTACTGTCCCCTGTTTATGTATATTCCAGTGTCTTGTTTGTACTAAAAAATCCTGATATGTATCAGGTGAATAATGGCATACACAAATTAAGTACTAGGTGGCATAATAAACTACATGTTTCCTTTATGAGATTATCTTCCATTCAAAAGAGTGTGCATTTTTCATCCATTAGAATATTTAATAACTTCCCATACAATATATATTCTTTGAAAGACAATATTAATACTTTTAAACAAAGGCTAAAAGATTATCTCATTTTGAATGCATTTTATTCGGTAGATGAATACATGGCATACAGGCTAGCATAATACATTATTGTTGTCTTTCCAAGATTATGTATTATCTAGATTTGTTATATGAGTGCTTTTTATTTTATTGTTGTATTTTTCATTTTATAATTCTTGAATATTTTAATTGTTGAGACTAGATTGCATTTTGCAATGTCATTTTGCTGACGAATTCAATATCCGGTCCGGTTTCCGAACAATGGATCTGTGAAATTATGTATTTATGTATGTATGTATGTATGTATCTTGAATGTCAGCCAGTTGTGCAACAATGTGTGCAATCCCTGCCTTCAGCGGTACGAAGCGGTCTAGAGGGTCTACAGTGCTTGTAGCATCTACTAGCATCTGTGATCTACAGAGTATTACGCGATGGAGTCAGGGAGTATGGTATTTGTTCGAGTAGTGGAGCGATATGGAAAATTTATCTTTCAGAATGTTGAGAAAGAGTATAATGAGATATTGAGTCACTGAAGTGTGGCATCGGAACTAATTATAAGGATAACCACAAATTCTGAATGTAACATTCTTTATGTAAACGTGTATAAACACGGTAAAAGTACAAAATTTTGATATTGTGTGCATTTAACAAAGCCTGAGTTTGTGCTGGTGAAGATCGCGAACAGAAATAGTATAAAGGTAAAGGTATCCTACATAATTAAGCACTATACCATAAAGGCGAATGGGGGAGTGGAAGTACAGCACCACCATTTTTGACCGCGGCATTGTAAGTGGGAGGTACTCGCCCTTACCGCCTTGCCACCGGAACACATTCATTAGGTGATGGGTGTGCCCCAGAGCCAGTCTGAATGCAATGGAGAAGTGAAAAATCTCTTACCTCTCCCAAAACTGAACCCCGGTCGTCCAGTGCGTAGCCTAATCACTATACGGGTTGAGCTATTCCAGCTCTATATTTAGAACTTACTTACTTACTCATGGAGCTGAGCCCTTCTAGAGGAGCCACCAATTCTGCTGCTACCAAAGAATTTTCCAACATTTTATGGAACCCGAAGGTTCATTACCGTGTTCACAAGAGCCCTCTGCTAGTACCTATCCTGAGCCAGATCAAGCCAATCCATATCATCCCATTGTATATCTCTAAGATCAATTTTAATATTGTCCACCCACCAGCGCCTTGGCCTTCTCAGTGGTCTCTCTCCTTCTGGCTTTCCCACCAATATCTTATATGCATTCCTCGTCTCTCCCATTCGTGCTGACCTTTTGTCTTCATGTCTGCTGTCCAAACACATGCAAATTATAATATACAAAAATGTAATTTTGCCTGTGGTTCTGGATGGGTGTGAAACTTGGTCTCCGACATAAGGGAGGAACATAGACTGAGGGTGTTTAAGAACAGGGTGTTGAGGAGAATATTTGGACCAAAGAAGGATGAACTGACAGGAGGTTGGAGAAAACTGCATAAGTCAATTCTTTATTATTTATGTGCCGAGTCAACAGCCGCAAGGCCAATTACAGACAGAGCACAGTGTACATGAAAGTAATTACATAATAGACAAACACATTATAAGTCAAAGACAAATTACAGGCAAGTACTGGGAAAAACACAATAATGAAGAAAAGTAAACAAACACACAAACAAATAATAATGAGGAGCTTCATAACTTGTACTCTTCTCCAAGTATAATTAGAATGATCAAGTCAAGGAGTATGAGGTGGGCAGGGCATGTAGCACTGATGGGGGAGACGAGGAATGCATATAGGATATTGGTGGGAAAGCCAGAAGGAAAGAGACCACTGGGAAGACCAAGCAATAGGTGGTTGGACAGTATTAAAATGGATCTTAGAGAGATGGACTGGATTTAGCTGGCTCATGATAGGGACCAGTGGAGGGCTCTTGTGAACACAGTAATGAACGTTCAGGTTCCATAAAATACTGGGAAATTCTTGAGTAGCTGCAGATTTGGCTTCTCCTCAAGACAGGCTCAGCTAGTAAATAAGTAAGTACCTTACCATATGGGTCGAAGCATTTGAAGGAAGTAGTTGTTGCAAGTTCCCACCAGAACTTCTGAGTAATTTAATTAATTTCACCAAATTATGATGATAATTTTGTCTTCTTTTCGTGATTTTGGTAATTGTCATGGCTTACCATATAGATTAAAGCATTTGATGTAGTCACAAGTGCCTCCCAGAACTTTGGATTGATTTGATTGATTCATTTATTTTGCCCTGTTGGTGGTAAAGTTATCTTATTTTTTTATTTCAGTAATGGTTGAGCCTGTGGTGTTAGTTCATGGGGGTGCAGGAAACATCTCCATTAATAGAGTTGAGCCAAAACTGGTTGGTGTTTGCACGGCTGCCAGGAGGGGATACAAAGTACTAATCAGTGGGGGGTCCGTTATTGATGCTGTACAGTCAGCTGTTCAATATATGGAGGATGATGAAGCTTTTAATGCAGGTCTGTGTTTGAAATATTTCCCATTGTAGTAATTTTACTTTCAGACAACTACAGTCATGCGGAGGTTCTTGTATAGTGTGGAAGTAGGTCAAATATCAGTTTGTCCTGGAACCTAAATGGAAATTTGTCTGTTTATTGATAATGTAAGTCAACTGCTGTACAGTGTGTTGAACACAAATGTCTGCAAATGACAGCCTTCAGCCAACCAATTAGCAATTGTATAGAATGTAGCTAACACTATGGAGGAGAATCCTTGAGAAGCTGATAACAATTCATCTTGTCAGTAAGGTCTCCACTACTAAATGGAACTCTCGGTTTAACCCAATTGCTGCATGCTTGACATGTTACCAAATCGCAGAACCAATCTAGATGTGTTTGAAGTGTTAACGATGCTGAAATTTTGCCATGACTGACCCCACCTTAAGTGCTGTAAGCTTTTGTATTCAGCTGTATTTGGTTGTAACTGCATCTGGCTGATTTAATGATGAGTACTAGAATCTCAAGACCCATGCATAAGATGTTTAATTTCATAAGCCCAAAAGAAATAGGTTTGCTCGTGG